CTGGTGGTCCCTCAAGCCCCCAAAGCCCTAGAATGGGCATGAAGAATGGGCCCTCCGGAGGCCTGTGCTGGCTGCTATGGCTCCTCTCATTCCTGCGATGCTGCCTCTGCTATCACCGAGGATTGGCCCCCAGGCACCACTGTCCCTGCCTCCTGCCCCACAGAAATGCAGAAGCCACTCAGACTGGGCTAGGGCCATTCCTGGTTTGTCAGCTTCCCCCAGGCTTGGAACACATGCAGGCTCCCAGAGCTGTCCCCTGCCCTCAGCCCCCTAACACTGCCCAGAGGCCCCACAGATAAGGCAATCAGTGCAGGGCCCTGAGACACGTGGGACCCCACTCACCTGGCTGAGCCTGCCTCAGCCCCAGCCTGTCGCCTGCTCTCTGCTCCCGGGTCTATGCTCCAGACGCTGCTGGGGTTCAAATGCACTTCCTCTTCCAGCCATCCAAGCCCACACATTCATCTCTACTCCACAAAGCTGCCTCAAGCCTGATATGGAGCCTGGTTAGCCAGCCCTGTCTACAGCGAGAGGAAGATGAGGAAGACCATGGCATGCAGGGGCCACCTGGGGACTAGTCACCTTGCCAGAAGGGGCAGGATCAGCTGCAGGTGGAGCCCAGCATGATGCGGCCCAGCCTAGAACGACATCTGGGCTCCACTGCCTTCCAGCCCTGTGCACTCCACATGCAATTCTGCATCTCTGAGCCTCAGTTTTCTCGTCTCCAAAATGAGAGCAATTCCTCCCCAGTGGGTCATCGTGAGGACTCCATGCATAACGGAGGTAAAACGCTCCTGCCCAGCAATTCCACTCCAAGTATTTACCCAAGAGATGCAAACACGTTCTCAGACACTGGCACACAACCATTACTTCACAGCAGCCAAAAAAGAGGCGACAGCCCAAATGTCCACCTACGGACGAGGAGATGCATAAAGTGTTCTCTAGTCAGACACTGGAGTATTACTCAGCCGTGGAAAGGTAATGTACTGGCTGGGCGTGGTGGCTCATGCCTGCAGTCTCAGCACGTGGGGTGGTTAGAGCTGTCATCTCTCAGCTCTCGGCACAAAGGGGGGTGAATTGCTTCAGCCCAGGCGTTCAAGACCAGCCTGGGTAACAGTGAGACCCCTGTCGTCTCACTCTTACCCAGTGAGAAACAAAAAGTTTTGTTGTTTTTTTTTTTTGAGACGGAGTCTTGCACTGTCACCCAGGCTGGACTTCAGTGGCATGATCTCAGCTCACTGCAACCTCTGTCTCCTGGGTTCAAGCCATTTTCCTGTCTCGGCCTCCCTAGTAGCGGGGACTACAGTTCCAGGACACTACTCCCAGCTAATTTTTGTATGTAGTAGAGACATGGTTCACATATTGGCCAGGCTGGTCTTGAACTCCTGACCTCAGGTGATCCGCCCACCTCAGCCCCCTAAAGTGCTGGGACTACAGGTGTAAGCCACCATGCCTGGCCTACAACCAGCTAATTTTTAACAAGTTTTTGCCCAGAAGTCTGCCATCTTGCCCAGGTTGGTCTTGAACTCCTGGGATCAAGTGATCCTCCCACCTGGGCCTACCAAAGTGCTGGGATGACAGGTGTGAGCTACCACGCCCAGACAAAAGAAAACGTTACTAGAGATGCTGAAAACCAGTTTGGCAGGTAAGGGGTAGAGGGAAAAGCATCCCAGGCACAGGCAAGGGCTCAAAGGGGACATTGTGGTCGGGTACAGTGGCTCACACCTGTAATCCCAGCACGTTGGGAAGCCAAGGTGGGTGGAACCCGAGGTCAGGAGTTTGAGACAAGCCTGGCCAACATAGTGAAACTTCATCTCTACTAAAAATACAAAAAATTAGCTGGGCTTGGTGGCCGGCGCCTGTAATTCCAGGTACTCAGGAGGCTGAAGTTCAGGGAGAATTACTTGAACCCAGGAGGCAGAGGTTGCGGTGAGCCAAGATTGAGCCATTGCCCTCCAGCCTGGGCAACAAGTGTGAAACTCCAACTAAAAAAAAAAAAAAAAAAAAAAAAAAAAAAGTGAAGAACGTTTCCTCTGGCCAAAGTAGAGGACCAATGCGGTATCACTCTATTTTCACACTGCAATAAAGAACACGTGAGATTGGGTAACTTACAAAGGAAAGAGGTTTGATGGACTCATAGTTCAGCAGGGCTGGAGAGGCCTCAAGAAACTTACAATTGGCCGGGCACAGTGGCTCAAGCCTGTAATCCCAGCACTTTGGGAGGCCGAGGCGGGTGGATCACAAGGTCAAGAGATCGAGACCATCCTGGTCAACATGGTGAAACCCCGTCTCTACTAAAAATACAAAAAATTACCTGGGCATGGTGGCGCGTGCCTGTAATCCCAGCTACTCGGGAGGCTGAGGCAGGAGAATAGCCTGAACCCAGGAGGCGGAGGTTGCGGTGAGCCGAGGTTGCGCCATTGCACTCCAGCCTGGGTAACGAGAGCGAAACTCCGTCTCAAAAGAAAAAAAAAAAAGAAACTTACAATCATGGCTGAAGGGGAAGGGGAAGCAAGACACCTTCTTCTCAAGGCGGCAGGAAGGAAAAGTGGAGCGAAGTGGGAGGAACCCCTTGTAAAACCATCAGATCTCCCGAGAACTCACTCACTATCATGAGAACAGCACAGGGGAACCCGCCCTCATGATTCCATGACCTCCACCTGGTCTCTCCCTTGACACACAGGGATTATGGGGATTACAATTCAAGACGAGACTTGGGTGGGTGGACACAAAGCCTTACTGGATCACACGGAGAGGAGATGGAAGCCACAGGGTGGGCCAGGGCCAGGGCCAGGAGTCTGGAGAGGGACAGGACCCCTAAAGGCTTCTAATGGGGTGACGGAAGTCATTCCTAGGTTTTGTTGTGGGTTTTTGTTTTGTTTTGAGAAAAGGTCTTGCTCTGTCACCCAGGCTGGAGTGCAGTGGTGCAATCACAGCTCACTGCAGCCTCGAATTCCCGGCAAGCGATCCTTCCACCTCAGCCTCTCAAGTAGCTGGGACGACAGGCACTCACCATCATTCCTGGCTAATTTTTACTTTCTTGGTAGAGAAGGAGGTCTCACTGTATTGTCCAGGATGGTCTTGAACTCCTGGGCTCAAGTGATCCTCCTGCCTCAGCCTTCCAAAGTGCTGGGATTACAGGCACGAACCACTGTGCTGGGCCCAGACTGAGGTTTTTAAAAGGCCATTCTGCACTGTGGAGGACAGTCTGGAAGGGGGCCAGAGTGGCTGGGGCAAGGGAGGAGGCTGTTATGGGGGCTACGGCGGTGAGCTAGAGCCAGGGTAGTGGAAGGGAAGGTCGGTCACAGGTAAAATCGGCGGCAGAAGGGAAGGGTGAGGGAGGGGAGCTGTCGGATCTTGCCCAGCTGTAATACAAGGTGGGCACTACCCACAGAAGGGGCTACTCAGCAATGAGTTGTCTTGGTCATGGAAGGTGGTGGTGTTTGTGGGGCATTCTAGGGACAGTGTCCGACAGGGGGCTGAGGCCATCAGAGCTAGAGACAGGGTTGAAGGGGCCCAGCATCGGGACAGCCTCGGAAACCTCAGAGCTAGCAGTCGCCAGCCCCCTGGGATCTTGTGGGGTGCACAGAGGGAACTCTGGGGGGATCCAGTCATTGGGGGGAGGCAGGAAAAGAGACTAAATGCCAAGTGGCTAGGAGAAGGCAGCCTTTCAGGCATGGTGCCGCCAACCATGGCCCAGATGTGTCAAGAATTTGGAGGAGGCCGGCTGCGGTGGCTCACGCCTGTAATCCCAGCACTTTGGGAGGCTAAGGCGGGCAGATCACTTGAGGTCTGGAGTTTGAGACCAGCCCGGCCACCATGGTGAAACCCCATCTCTACTAAAAATAAAAAAATCAGCCTGGTGTGGTGGCGGGTGCTTATAATCCCAGCTACTCAGGAAGCTGAGGCAGGAGAATCACTTGAACCTGGAAGGTGGCTGTTTTGCAGTGAGCCGAGATCCCACCACTGCACTCCAGCCTGGGTAACAAGAGTGAGACTCTGCCACAAAAAAAAAAAAAAAAAAAAAACAACTCCGGGTGCAGTGGCTCATGCCTGTAATCCCAACACTTTGGAAGGCCGAGGTGGGTGGAGCACGAGGTCAGGAGTTCAAGACCAGCCTGACCGACATGGTGAACCCATCTCTACTAAAATACAAAAATTAGCTGGGCGTGGTGGTGCATGCCTGTAATCCTAGCTATTTAGGAGGCTGAGGCAGGAGGATTGCTTGAACCCGGGAGGCGGAGGTTGCAGTGAGCCAAGATCGTGCCACTGCACTCCAGCCTGGGCAACAGAGCACGACTCCGTCTCAAAAAAAAAAAAAAAAGTGGGAGGAAAAGTATCCACTGGGATTTAGCAAAGTGAGATTGTCAGTGACCTGGAGGAATTTCCACTGGAGAGTTAGAGAGCGAGGGGTAAAAGGCAGATGACTAGGGTTGCAGAATGAGTGGGAGGTGAAGATGTGGAGCTAGAAGAATGGTCAGGACCGCTATTGGAAGAGTTTGGGATTGCTTTATGATGTTTAAAGGCTAAGGGGCAGGAAGGAGAAGAGGCGGAGGTATAGAAGGGAAGCCTCCTGCGAACTAGGGCCTGGTCAAGGGACAAGATGCACCCCGTTTGCGGCCAGAGGAAGGGCTACAGCCGCGTCTGTAAGAGCAGTGGGAAAAAACACGTGGGAGCCTGCCTAAAGGGTGAGGGCACCGGCGTGGAGTGTACAGAGCTGGAATGAGGGCCTGTGGTTTTGAGGAGGACCCTGGGCTCAGTGTGACGTCCTGAGGGTCAGGCTGGGGCTGGGGCGCCAGATCTACCAAGTAAAACTACAGGATGCTCAGTTAACTTTGAACTGTAGGTAAGCAAGTAAAAAATTTTTAGCATAAGTATTTCCCATGCAATGTCCGGGATATACTTACACTATTTTGTGTGTGTGTGTGTGAGTGTGTGTATAACTTATCTGAATTCAAGTCCTGTAATTTACAGCCAATCCTAGCCCAGCGTGGAGGAGTAGTGGGTCAGGGAGGGCACCGGAACTGCGCGACCCGACAGCCTGGGAAACGGGTAGCCGTGTCAGAGGGTCGAGTGCCCGTGGGGAGGACGCCGGGGACAGAGCTGCGGCTTCCTTCCACGCCCCGCCGGGCCCGCCGCGGCGCACGGAGACCGCTCAGGATTCGTCCCGGCGGGAACTCCCCGCCCTAGAACTTTGGTCTCGTCCCACCTACCCCCGCCCGCCCCATGGTCTCGCCCTACGGAGCCATCGATAACTCTACGCTCGGTCTCGGCCTCGATCGACTCGCTCCGGCTCCCCTAGCCGTCCTGGATACGGTGGAGTGCGGAGCCGCCCGTAAGGTACGGAGGCCGCGAGCCAGGGGCCGAGAACCAGCTGCTGGGTGGCTGGGAGAGCGCGGCCGGGAAAGCCAGCCAGCAGGACGGAGCAAGGGCGGTCGGCGGAGGACAGGGGAGCTCAGGGAGTTCAGCCAGATAGCGCCTGTTCCCATCAGGGCCCGCTGTTGGCCTGCTACGCATGCGCAGCCGCAGCGCTCCGCTTCCCCCGGCCCTCCCGCCGCCTTGCGCACGCGCGGCCCGCTCCTGCGGCAGAGTGGGGCATGCGCGTGACTGCCCCCTGCCGGTTGCGGCGGGGACGGCGCCCCCTCCGACTGCGTGGGGCGGGGACGGAGCGCGTGCCCTGGAGCCCCAGAGTCACCCGGAGCCGAGTGTCACGCGTGTCCCTGAACCTACCTGCGCTTGTTTTCCCATCTGTAAAGTGGGAATGATAAACCCCACCCGGCAGCGCCCCGTGGGCCTGTAATCTACCTAGCACAGAGGGTGTTCTCTTAAGTACTGCATACCCCTGTCGAGCTCTGCAGATGCTCTGACCTTTCACTCTTGCCGTTCAGCTCTAGAGCCCGTGCAGGCCACACCATGAACACCTCCCCAGGCACGGTGGGCAGCGACCCAGTCATCCTGGCCACTGCAGGCTACGACCACACCGTGCGGTTCTGGCAGGCCCACAGCGGCATCTGCACCCGGACTGTCCAGCACCAAGACTCTGTATCCTCCACCCGGGGCGGGCAGCGTGGCGCTGTGGGGGTGTCTCATGTGAGGACAACAGCCTGGCTGAAAGCCAGATGGTGGAGGCCTGGGAGTCCCTGGCCCCAAGGCTGCTCTCCCGTCATCCTCCTTAACAGTCCCAGCAGGTGAATGCCTTGGAGATCACACCAGACCGCAGCATGATTGCTGCTGCAGGTATCTGTGACCCTTGACCTCTAACCCCTGACCTCTGGCGGGTTGACTGAGCACAGCCAAGCTTCAGTTCAGCCTGTGTCCTCAGGTTACCAGCACATCCGCATGTACGATCTCAACTCCAATAACCCCAACCCCATCATCAGCTATGACGGTGTCAACAAGAACATCGCATCTGTGGGCTTCCACGAAGACGGCCGCTGGATGTACACGGGCGGCGAGGACTGCACAGCCAGGATCTGGGACCTCAGGTGTGGTGGGGAGGGGTCTGCTTCCTGGGGCTGGGGTGGGCCGCTCCTGGGAGACGTTTTTAGGTTGGGTTCTTTCCAAGCAGAGGCTGAGACAGGGAGCTTCCTGCGGGCGACTTACTGAAGTGAGGACAGGGGAGTGAGCTGCATCAAAGCCTGTGCGTTGTACCCCTTCTGCCAGTACTGGCTTAGGCTCCTCTGGAGTGGAGGGCCCTGCATCCCAAGTATTTCCTGAGAGGCAGGTCCCGTCAGTAGACGGAGGGGAGGAATGGCCAGGCCGAGGCCATCTGGGTGGGGCACCGACAAGCCCAGACGGTCAGCATGTGCCGTGCCCGGCCCGGCCCGGCCCGCAGGTCCCGGAACCTGCAGTGCCAGCGGATCTTCCAGGTGAACGCGCCCATTAACTGTGTGTGCCTGCACCCCAACCAGGTGAGGAGGGCTCATGGGGCCGGGCACCCTGGGACTTGGGAGAGCCGGGCTTGGGCCCTGCCTCACCTCCCTCGTACCTCAGGCAGAGCTCATCGTGGGCGACCAGAGCGGGGCCATCCACATCTGGGACTTGAAAACAGACCACAACGAGCAGCTCATCCCTGAGCCTGAAGTCTCCATCACGTCTGCCCACATCGACCCTGATGCCAGCTACATGGCAGCCGTCAATAGCACTGTGAGTCCTGGTGGCAGGTGCTGGGTAGGGGCAGCTTGGCACTCAGCCCTCAGCCTCTGCAGGTAGGCTTATTCCTGGATGTCCCTTAGGGACCCCCTTCCGCTTCTTCCATCCCGGGCGCTAACACCCGCCCTGCCAGCAAAGCCAGAAGTCCCAATGCCTCATCCTCGTCTGCAGCTCTGTCCCTCTGGTTTCTGGAGCCTCTCCCAAGTCGGTCCACTTCCCTCTTTTCTCCCTGTTGCCTCCTGGTTCCACTCACCCTCGTCTCCCATGACAGCTGACACATTCTCTGAGGCCTCCTTACCTCCTCCCTGATGTCCCCCGGCCCTGACCTATTCTCCCTTGGATGCTTCTAGTGGTGCCTGGTCAGTACCGGCCAGGTGGTGTCGTTCCCCTGTGGAGACCCAGGGCTGCTGGCCTCGCCTGTACGCTGCCGTGGCGTGGCCCCTGCTCTCCTCTCCCGCCTCACTTTTTTCCATTAACTCCATTTAATCCCAGCGCCTCAGTTGTCCCTCTTGTCCCCAGACTTCCCTTCTCCCAGCCTTGATCATGCTGTCCCTCTAGCTGGTGCCCTTCTCCTGGGTCCTCCCATTGGCCAGGGACATTCTCCAGAAAGGATAATCTGAGTCCTTGGCCAGGCATGGCCTCCTGCTCTTGCCTTGCCGGCTGTGGCTCTTGGTTGGGGCCAGACTTCCCAGGTGCCTCCTGCAGGCAGGTCTGGAGGGGCCTGCCTGCCCCTGATCCCGGGTCCCCATGCACCGTTGGCCCCCAGTATTGTGCCTCAAGGGCATCCTTCCCTGTATCTCAGACCTGAGGCCTCGGGCCACTGGTGATGGTCCTCCTGCCTTTAGGGAAACTGCTATGTCTGGAATCTGACGGGGGGCATTGGTGACGAGGTGACCCAGCTCATCCCCAAGACCAAGATCCCTGCCCACACTCGCTACGCCCTGCAGTGCCGCTTCAGCCCCGATTCCACGTGTGTGCAGGGCCTGCTGGCCCGGGAGGGGACCTGCCTGGGCGGGGGCCTGGATAGGGGAGGGGCTGCTGGGTGCATATCAGGGGCTGCGGGGTGGAGTGGCTGCTGCTGGACACACCCCACCCCCACCCCCACCCCCACCCCCAGGCTCCTCGCCACCTGCTCAGCTGATCAAACGTGCAAGATCTGGAGGACGTCCAACTTCTCCCTGATGACCGAGCTGAGCATCAAGAGCGGCAACCCCGGGGAGTCCTCGCGAGGCTGGATGTGGGGCTGTGCCTTCTCGGGGGACTCCCAATACATCGTCACTGGTGAGCTCTGCCCCACTTCCCCGGTCCCTGGCCTCCAGAGCCAGCCCACCCAGGCTGCTGCTCCCCCTCTGCTCGGGCTCTCTGCCCGGCCTGCACCTGTGCTCTGAGCCCTGCCCATCCTCCCACTCCAGCTTCTTCAGACAACCTAGCCCGGCTCTGGTGTGTGGAGACTGGAGAGATCAAGAGAGAATATGGCGGCCACCAGAAGGCTGTCGTCTGCCTGGCCTTCAACGACAGTGTGCTGGGCTAGCCTGTGCCCCCTCGGGTCTGCCTGGTGCAGGTGGTGGCAACTTGAGGGACCCATGCAACACCCAGGTCACAGTACGGCCTATGGCCGGCCTGTGCCAGCTGGACCTGACGGCCCCCCGTGGCTCCAGCTGCCGGGCCAGGCCACCCTAGGCCTCTCAGCCCCCAGTTGCTTATCCGGATGTGACAGCTCAGGGTGACGCAAGCCCGGGTGCCCACTCCTAGACTGGGCTAGCCTGCACTCCCTAGGAAAGTCGGCCCAGTGCTTGAAGCTGCGGAGGCACCTGAGGCTGGTGCCCACTCCCAACTCTGCCCCTCCCTGACCGAGTTTCAGGACCTCAGGCCACAGAGAACACCACGGCCAGGTGGAAGGGTTTATTCGTCCCCGCCGGCAGCTGTCCTCCCTGGTGCGGGCGATCTGGCCAGCCCGCTGGACTGGGGACTGGGGCTGGGCTTGGCCAGGTCGGGGGCTCAGTCTGGGAGGTAATAAAAGCAGACTGATACACAGATGTTGCTTGGGAAGCAGATGTCGATGCAGAGATAGATGAGCCGCTGCCTCTGGGGCCCTGTGGTGAGGGCGTCGTGAGTTCCCAAGGGCTCTGACCCCAGCTCCTCCGTGGGTCTGGCCTCCCCATGCAGCAACCCCAACTCACCCTCCACACGCTGGGCCCAGTAGATGGGGGTCCTTGCGCACAGGTGCTGCACCAAAGCGCCCACCTGGGTGGGGTCCACCTCGTGGCTCCCCAGCACTGCCAGCAGCTCCTGGGTGTGGTGGGTGTCCTGGCTGGGGCCCGGAGTCCCTTGGGCCTGCTGAGAAGACTCTGGTGGGCCATGGGAGGGGACTCCTTTCTGCTCCTGGCTGGGCGGGGCCGGGCCCCTCCCAACCCCAGTGATGACCCCACCTTCGGCTCTTGTCAGCAGCCTGTGCTCAGGGAGGAGAGAGCTTCCTGTTCCCTGAAACCAGAGCCCCAGCCTGCCCTGCGCTGGGCTGCACACAGGACCTTTTGTCTGGCCCCTGGCTGGGGGCTGCGCCCAGCAGGACAGCTCACCTTGGAGGTATCCACCAGCAGCCGCAGGGTCTCCCGATCACTGTCCCCCATCAGGCGGAGGAAGCAGGCGTGGTGCTCCTCAGGGCGGTAACAGATGCAGCCCTGGGGAGGCAGGGGGGTGAGGCAGGGCCACCCCAGCTGACACCTGTGAGGGCAGTCCCTCCCTGCCCACTCACGCTCTGCCCGTCGAACAGCACCACCCAGCTGTGGTTGCTCTGAGGTGCGGTCACTGTGATGGTTGCCGCATTCTGGGCCACGTCCACCAGGATGGTTTGGTTGGGCCTCGACATGTGGGGGCTCGGGAGGGTCATTCGCAGCGTCTGCAGCCGTGGCTGGCAGTGGAGTTGAGAGTTCAGCTGGGTAGCTGGGCAACCCCAGCACAGCCCCCAGCTCTGGGCTCAGGATTCTGACATCCCTGAGTGGCCCTTCTGCCCCTTACTCCTCCAGCCATCTGCTCCAAGGCGGCTGTATCACTCCCGGCTCTGTGCCCTGGCTCTGCTGGAGGCTGGGATATGCCAGCTTCCCCTCCCCCTTCCCACTGCCCACGACCCTGGTCCTGAGGAGGGGCTCACCTTGGGAGGGCCCTGAGCGAAGCCAAGAAGCCCTCCAGCCACAGTCCCTGCAGCCAGTGCCAGCAGCAGCAGCAGCAGCAGGCCCGCGGCTCTCCAGCCCCCACAGCAGGGCTTGGTCTTCACCTGGGCATGCGTCAGGGTCAGAGGGGTCATGGGGGTTAGAGACCACGGAGCAAGTGGCCTGGGGCACCCCCTGGGTCCTTGCTGCAGGAGTGATGGGAGCCCACTCACCCCTGCAGGCCCAGCTTCGGGGCGCTCCGCGCAGCAGCTTGCTGGCTCCATGCTGCAGCCCCTGCTCACAATGCGCCGATTGTCTGCGCCCCTTGTCTGCAACCTTGGCCAGGGAAACCTCAGGACGCCTCCCCTCCTGACCCCACGCCTCCCCCTCAGCTCCGGATCTGATATCCGGGTCAGAGCCAGGACAGTCCCCTCCTCCCACCTGGGGGATACCTGTCACCAGGCCTGGCTCCAGACACCTGGCCTGCACAGACTGGATACCAGGGTCTGGGAAGCATAGTGCTTGGCTGCGGGGAAATCCAGTCCAGATGACCAACTGGAGGCAGCACAGGCCCAGCCAGGGTGACTTGCTAAGTGTGGTTGGGGTGGATGAGGCCTGGTTCAATGAATGACTCATACGGGACTGTGTACCCCCAGCTGCTTCCCAGCCCCCCAGTGTGAGATGGGGCCAAATGGCATCCCACAGAGTACATGCCCAAGACCAGGGGTTCCTGAAGGCTGGAGTGTGGAGAGGCAGCCTGCTGGAGCCTGTGCCCCCTGGCATGGTCAGGCCAGCCTTGGGGGCCTGCCCAGCATGCCTTTGAGATGGAGTTTCACAGTGTCCCTCAGGTTGGAGTGCAGTGGCTCCATCTCGGCTCACTGCAACCTCCCAGGTTCAAGCAATTCTTCTGCCTCAGCCTCCCAAGTAGCTGTGATTCCAGGCACCCACCACACCCGGCTCATTTTTGTATTTTTAGGAGACCAGGTTTCACCATGTTGGTCAGGCTGGCCTCGAATGCCTGACCTCAAGTGATCTGCCTGCCTCAGCCTCCCAAAGTGCTGGGATCACAGGCGTGAGCCACCACACCCAACCCAGCCGGACTTGTTTCTAACTCAGCTCTACTCCCTGCCCTGGGAAATCTGACATAGCAGCCCATGTGTGCCCATGAGCCCCACCAGCTTCATTCACTCCAAGCCCCTTTCCCTGGCTTCCCTCCTTCTCCAGAACACGTTCCTCTGAACCAGGCTGGGAGTGGACAGCTGGCATTCCCACTGTGGAGCTGGAACCCCAGCCACCCATCTACTTTGAGTCCTCCCACCTGCGGTGAGACGGCGGTGCCCAGGGCCAAAGCAAGTCGACAGCAAGGACACCTGAGCCACTGTGGGTTTGAGAGTTTAATCTGTGCTCCGGGGCACACAGTGCCACAGCCCCTCACGGGCTGGAGACAGGGTGCACAGGGACTCCCAGCCCCCACACAGCAAGAGGGAGGCATCGCCGCAGCTGCATCTGCCATGTGCTCCTAGCATGAATTCGCCCTGCCCGGCCAGACCCAGCTGGAGCCGACCTCACCGAGCCAGCATCAGTGCCACCAGCTTTGTGAGCACAACCACCCTCATGCTGCCCTGTAGCACCCTCTGAACCTGACATCCCTGGTCTGGGAGGTGCTGAAGGCTCAGAACCCCCCTTATTGCTCTGAGAAGTCTTCATGACCAAGAGGAATGCTGTGAGGCCAGTAGAGAAGCCGCCAGGTGCAGGGCAAGGTGGCGGTAGGGAGCCAGCCAGAAGGTGCAGTGTCCTGGGCTGGCCCTGCTGAGTCTGCTGTCAGGCCTGTGAAAGGTCAGCTGAGCCATGGAGCAGGCAGGAAAGGCCAGAGCCCCACTCAGAACCTTGGCGAGCTGGTGGCCCTGCCAAGTCCTCCTGCTGGCCAATGACAAGGGAATCCAGGGCAAGGCAGGTGACTTCCTGGGCCACCAGCCTCCAACCCCTACTCCAACTAGGGAATGGAAGGACAGGAAGAGGCTGGATGCTTCGTAAAGGACTTCCTGTTCTTGGGGACACAACTCTCCTCCCCCTCCCAGAGCCCTGGATCACAGGCATTCCTTGGCCAACATGCTGCAGGGCATAAAGGCTTCTTCAGTGGGATCTTCCCTACGAGACAGAGCACAGAATTAACACACTTCACATTCAAATCCATTGCCTGACACGGTTGTTCAAAGTTAAACTGGCAGCAACACTGCTCTGAGCTCCCTGCACTGCAGCCTCGGAGTTGAGCGAAGGCGTCCCCGGCCTTGCGGCTGCTCAGTCCAAGTCACCTGGGTTTAAACGCACACTCGACAGCTGCGGTTTAGCTGGGCTGCGTTTACAGAACTGGGCAGCTGTGTGTGAGGAGCAGCAGCCCTGGGTATCTGAAACGGAACAGACACTCAATTGTGACATCAGAGTGGTTTTCAAGGAAGCAGGGGAGGCGGAAGGGTGGTGAGGGCAGCACTTTGCACCCAAGGGCAAGGAGATGGCACCTGGGAGCAGCTCCCTCCTCCGTTCCCAACCTGCTGGGAAGCAGAGGGACACAGAAGGCTCCGCTGGACTGTCAGTCACACTGATGGGGCCTTGGTCCACAAAAGCGTCTCCCAGCAGAATAATTGGTCCCTCTGCGCCCGAGGGGCTGGATCCCTGAATGAGTTTTCCAATAAAGTATAGGACACACACCCCTAGAAGCGCCTCAGGCCCGGATACCTGAATCCCAGACAGGTGCAGAGCCTGCCCCTGCCAACCCTGCCCAAGGCCCAGAACCCACCCCACAACGCCTTCCAAGCCTCAAAGTGCAACTTCAGTTACAGGCATCTGTAAACAAAACCGTCCCCCAAACGTTTACTTACAAGGTTAACAAGGAATGCCTTTGCTCAACTCCAATTACATTCTTTGAAGCCACCTGGCCGGGAAGATGCTTAAGCCCCACCTATTAATTTGGGTAACTAATTTTCAACTTTTCTTTTTTTATTCTGGAGATTAAAGACACTCAATCTTTAACCTTGAAGGGCGGGCAAAAGGTCGGCTATGCTGTCCACGTAGAAGTCGGGGACCATTTTCTTCTTGGCCACGCAGTCACTTTCCTGATTCCTCTTCACGTCCCCAAGCGTGGAGACCCCGGTGAGGGTCAGAATGGTCTTGAGGCCGCAGGTGACGCCCAGAAGGATGTCCGTGTCCAGCCGGTCCCCCACCATGACGGTGCGCTCGGGGTCGATGCCGTACTCCTGGGACACGCAGTCGAAGATGAAGCGGCTGGGCTTCCCGATGATGTCGGCCTGGCGCTGGGCGGCCATCTCCACGGCTCGGACCAGGCAGCCGGTACCTGCGGGGCACAGGGGACCCGGTCAGCGGGCGGGGAGGGGGCCCGGGCGTGCCCCCCAGCCTCCCGCCCCGGGGCGCACGGACCCGCGATGAAGCGGCCGTTCTCCAGCGGCAGCCGGTTGTCCATGTTGGTGCCCACGAGCAGGCAGCCGGGCTGCTGCAGGTAGCGCAGGGCGCGGGTGAGCTTCATGTAGCTGAAGTGCGGGTCGAACCCCACCACCACCGCGCGCACGTCGGGCTCCAGCGGCGCGTGCAGCCAGTCGCCGGGCCCCTCGCCCTGTAGCGGCTCGGGCCCCACGCCCACGCACGCGACGCCCACGGCCTCCAGCTCCGCGGCCAGGGCCGGGCTGCCCAGCACGTAGGCCTTGGGCGAGGGCGCGCCGGCCAGGCGCTGGCGCAGGTAGAGCGCGGTGCAGTAGGCGGTGCCGAAGACCTCCAGGCCGGCGCCGGGCCCCGCAGGGCCCCCGAAGCCCAGGCGCCGCAGCTTCTCGGCGTAGGCCGCGCGGGTCTTGCTGCTGTTGTTGGTTATGAAGCCCAGGCGCTTGCCGCGGGCACGCAGCGCCCGCAGGGCCTCGGGCGCCCCTGGCACGGCCGTCTCCCCGCGCCACAGCACCCCGTCGCAGTCAAAGAGCAGCGTGTCCACGTCGGCCAGCAGCGCCTGGGCCCGCTCGGCGCTCAACCGCACGCAGCGGGCGTCGTCGCCATCGGCCGCCGTTGCCGCCATGGCCGCCACCGGCCGCCGCCGCCGCCGCCGCCGGCCGCTCCTCGCAGCCGCCAGCCGCGGTGCCCTCCCCGCCCCCGGGGCGCTCATTGGCCCCGCGTCTCGCGCCCGCCGCCCATTGGCCGTCGCCTTCGCCAATCCGCCCCCGCTTCCCGCGGGCTGCGGGAGATCAGCGCCAACTGGCGCGGCCCGACGCGGGGAGGCGGGCGACCATTGGCTGCCGGGTCCGGGGCGCACCTGTGATTGGTTGGCAGGGCGCCAACCGGCATTCGGTGTGGAGGGCTCGCTGCGGAAATACGGCTGAAGGGAGAGTGGCGCAGGCGCAAGGCTGCGCTGCTCCCCAGCGGCCGCGGGGTCGTGCGCCCGTTGGAAGCCGGTGGTCAGCCTAGGTGAGGAGGCCCTTCACGGAGTGACCCGGGCCCGGCCGGCTGCGCATTGGCCGGTCTCTCTCGCGGGTCCGGCCAGGGCTCCCGCAGGAGCGCGGCGGGAGGGTCCGGGGTCGCAGGGGACGCGTTCCGGACACCGGGCCAGCAAGTGTGTCGTTTACCGGCCAGCCCGGGACTCCCTCCTCCGCAAGGCTGCGTGCTCGCCTCGGTCCTTTGCAAAAACACGTTCCCCGTGCCTCGGCGGTCACACAGACCGGCCATTCCCAGGCAGTGGGTTTAGGGGCTAAAGACCCTGCATGGCCGGGCGCGGTGGCTCGGGCCTGTAATCCCAGCACTTTGGGAGGCCGAGGCTGGGTGATCACGAGGTCAAGAGATCGAGACCATCCTGGTCAACATGGTGAATCCCCGTCTCTACTAAAAATACAGAAATTGCCGGGCGCGGTGGCTCACGCCTGTAATCCCAGCACTTTGGGAGGCCGAGGCTGGGTGATCACGAGGTCAAGAGATCGAGACCATCCTGGTCAACATGTTGAAACCCCGTCTCTACTAAAAATACAGAAAATTAGCTGGGCATGGTGGCGCGTGCCTGTAATCCCAGCTACTCAGGAGGCTGAGGCAGGAGAATTGCCTGAACCCGGGAGGAGGAGGAGGTTGCGGTGAACCGAGATGGCGCCATTGCACTCCCGCCTGGGTAACAGGAGCGAAACTCCGTTTCAAAAAAAAAAAAAATAAACAACAACAACAACAAAAATTAGCCGGGCGTGGTGGTGCGCACCTGTGGTCCCAGCTACTGGGGAGGCTGGGGCGGAAGAATCGCTTGAACCCAGGCGGAGGTTGCAGTGAGCCGAGATTGCGCCACTGCACTCCAGCGTGGCGACAGAGTAAGACTCCGTCTCAAAACAAAACAAAAAAGACGCTGCCTAGAACCTGGTACTCAGAGTTTGCTCACCATCATCATCACCAATTATTAGATATTTACTTTGAGGCTTACAGTAAAGGGCATGAAAACTGTGGAGCTCGATGGAAGTTTTACATTTTTACATGGATATACATTTCGAGATACGGTCTCGTTCTGTCTCCAAGGCTGGGGTCCAGTGGCTGGATCACAGCTCTCTGCAGCCTTGACCTCCCAGGCTGATGTGATGCTCCTATCTCAGCCCCCCAAGTAGCTGGGATTACAGGCCCATGCCACCATGCCTGGCTAAGTTTTTGTATTTTTAGTAGAAATGGGGTTTCACCATGTTAGCAGGCTGGTCTTGGACTTCTGTCCTTAGGTGATCCGCCCGCCTCGGCCTCCCAAAGTGCTGGGATTACAGGCGTGAGCCATCCCGCCCAGCCTAATTTTCATTTTTGTTTAAATTTTTTATAGAGACAACATAGTCTCACTATGTTGTCCAGGCTGGTCTCCAACTCCTGGCCTCCAGCAGTCCTCCCGTCTTGGCCTCCCAAAGTGCTGCTGGGATTACAGGCATGAGTCGCTGCACCCAGCAGATTTTTTACCTATGTATATGCTTGTGTAAACATAACCCAGACCGAAGCATAAAGTATTTCCAACACCCCAGAGTTCCCTCTTGTTCCTATTCAGTCAATAGCGGATAGCCCATTTCTGACCACTTTTCTGACTCCTATCAGCAGAGAGTCATGACCAAGCTTGTTTCTGTGGTTTAATATGATATCTGTGAAATTCATCCACCTGGCTGGGTATGGTGGCTCACGCCTGTAATCCCAGCACTTTGGGAGGCTGAGGTGGGGAGATCACCTGAGATCAGGAGTTTGA